AATTACCAGGACGACGAAGTTGTTGGCTAAAGGGTAAATTCGGTGTCGCTAAATACAATAGCGTCAGCGGAGTTGACACATTTTAGACAGCACGAGAAGCTCGCCGACGCGATAAACGGCTGCGGCCATTAAGAATGCCAAATAGAAGAGACGGGAACCGCGTTGCCAGGTAGAACTACGATACATCGCAAGCCGGAGCGTGCACAGGGCGACCGGGGCTATTGCCAAGATTTATCCAGCACAAAAGCGGTCGTTATAATTAGCCAGGCTGCTCGTCGAACCAGTCCAAACAACCGGCACCGTTTCGACGCGAAACATTGTTTCAAGCGGGCGAATGAGCGTGAAAATAACAACACGTATGATCGATGCTTCGTGCAGGGGCGCGCGAGCGTGAAATGCACATGCATCATTACAGCGCGGGGGCAAAGGACAGAGCGACGAGGCCGCGAGGGAGCAAGAGGAAGACGAGGAGTACGCGTCGGTCTCAACTGGGTCGATCACGATGCTCTATAATCCAGCAATGCCGCCGACAAATGGAGTGCTAAATAATCTCTCGACGAGAGTGGAAAAACGAGCAATAGGCCGCGAGGGTCCCGAAGCGGAGAGTCGCTCGGGTAATAAGTCATCGAAGAGTATCGAAGACGATCCTGGGACACGTATCTCCGGCGAGATCCGGTTCGCCGGGGCAATTTTGGAAATTGCCACGATTAATTCTCGAAATTACGAGCATTTTCTCTTCGAGTCCCTATGCACTCTGCATGGACGACGTTTTCGGGGACCTCTGTCGCGGGGCCTGGTCGGATCGACCGATCTCTCGCGTCCAATCACGGATAATCGGTGCAAAAAGGAGTCCGAGATCTCGGCTTCGACCAGGGGAACGAGAACGAGGGGAAGAGGCGTAGGATTTTTCCTCTTTCCACGGAAAGCTCGACGGACGCAGCGATTCGCGAGCGAGAGCCGGTCGATAGTAGGAAGAGCCCTGGACTCGCGGCGGTTCTCCGAAAGGGCCGCGAGCCGGGGAAAAAAGGAGAGAAGAAAGGGGGAAGCGAAATCCCGAGGCAAACCGTCGCCGTTCTTGTCGGCCAGGCAGACGGCAGCAAAGGGGAACACCCTGTACATGCCAACGACATTCCCGAAGTGCAGCGTGCAGTTTTTCGCGGCTACCAGCGCAGGCCCTGACGAGAGAGTGACTCACGGGCTCCGCAGTCGAATGCAAGGGCGAACACGCACGTGCTCTCTCTCCTGCACGCACGTCAGTGAGCACGCACACGTGCCCCGCGGCCTACCTGTGCACGTGTACGCTCCGCCTGTACAGGGTGTTTATCGCGAATCGGTCATGCTCGCGGGGTTAGGTTTCGATAATCGTTCCGGAGTCACGGGGCTCGGACGCGAAGGAACGAGGCCTCCAGGGGGGTTTAAGTTCTTAATAGGAGTACCAAGTTTGGCTGCCCGCGATGTATCCAATTGGGAAGATTGGCTGGTTCGTACCTGAGCTGGATGTCGAGAGCAGCCTAAAGGTCCGAACGTTGACGCGATGGGACTGTGCCATTCTTAGGTGTCGAGGTAATATTGATTCAACGGACCCCCGACATTCTTACTGTAAAAGGTACAACAAAGCGCGTGGAATAACAGCCACTTAGGGGGTACTCGCGAGAGGAAAATGGCGTGGACCTAAAATCGCCACCCAGTATAAAACGCACTCGAATTCGTGTGGACGCGTACACGTGTACGTATACTCGCGAGCATGTTCCGCTGGACGGGCTCGTCAGTGTGCAAGTGGATCGAAGATCGAAGCATCACGAGCGAGAGGAAGAAGAAGAAGGAGAAGAAGGAGGAGAAGAAGAAGAAGAAGACGCAGAAGAAGAAGAAGAAGAAGACAACAACGACGACGACGACGACGACGACGACGACGACGACGACTAAGACGACTACGAGGGACGAGTGGAACGACGGTGAGATGCTGCGTGGAAGAGGGAGGGACAAAGAAGAGGAGAGAAGCGCGAGATTTATTTGCCCGAATTTCGACTGGCGGCCGATGCCGTGGCCGCTTCCAAGGAATGCATTTCGCATTCGGGGTCTTCCACGGAATATGTTCTGCGACGGGGTTGAGGTTTCTGCTTCGATCGGCTAAACCAGTCACCGAGGTTTGTTATTGTTTTCGGGGGCCACGGACCGTTCTTGCGATACGTCCCTCCTTCTGCGAGTGTACCTCCTTCGACGGACTAGTCGATCGTGTCGGCCACCACTCCAAAGACCGGGCTTCCAGGATCCCCCGGTTCTCCATTTTTTCTCCCTACCGCCCCGCGCGAGCAACTAGCTCGCCCCATCGTTCTTCCCGCGGCCTGGGACTGCGTGAAACCAGTAGTGGCAGCTTATTCGGATGATGTATGATCGAGGATACGCGTGGTAATTAGTATTCCATCTCGAGAAGGATTCGAGTCGTGTATCTCCATATTATCGTAATTATGTTGAAAGAGGACTCGCGAGTGTTCCCGGCGGGAACCAGTTGCCGATACGTGTCTCGAAACGGCGTTACGCAGCCGGCGCTAACGCAAGCGCCTGCCTGCTGCTTTCGTGTCGAGCGCCATTTCGCGTCCCGGTATTAATCGAATCGATAAAATCCGGCAGTCCGCGTGGTTACATACGCCGGTTGGACACGGAATCTGAAATTCTAAAGGGGGCCGAGCGGGATCGCGAGCCGGAATAAATCGGTTTCTCTGGTTGGCTCGCGCGGTCGCGAGCAGGATCCAGCGAGAGAGGATCGGAAGGCTCGCGGACAGAGCCGTGAAAGGTGTCGTTAACCGAAAGGAACAGTCGAACCGGCCACGAGGCTGTTTGCCGCGTTATCCGATCGAGGGATCGGCGATCGACCGGTGATGTATCGTTTCCGATCGGCCTCCCCTCGAATCGGCGCTATTAGGCCGTTGGCATCGGTTTTTACGCTCGAACCGAGAGATTCCGAGGCACGGGCGGGCCTCGCGATGCGTGTCCCGTAAACGACGGCATGCACAGCGTTTAACTAATGTGTCCGGGACCGGTCGGGATCGCATTGATCACCGTTCCGAGACTAGATTTATGTCGACGAATGATTCACGGCGTGATTTACAGCGGATTGTCCGGCGCGCGCATACTGATTGACCATTTATTCCGCTCTCCCGGCATCGCGGCCCACTAATCACTTATTGGGTTAAGGTGAAATCTCGGAGACCGGGACGTCTCGAGGCTTCTCCGACGTCTGCTCGCCGAAAGTGACCCGTTCCGATTCCGACTCGGACCACTCCGGTCCAGAGGGGATACCCCCCGTCGGAGGACTTCCTGGTTCCATTTCGCCGCCACGAGCGAATCTTCCCGTTGCGACGCGAAGAAAGTACGACCACAGCTGTGTCGTGCTTCCTCATCGGGTCTCACAGGGATCCTCGACCTCCTTTTGGCCCCCCTCGTCTATTTCTCTTTGCACCCCGCGAGTTTGATTTTGGAAAATGTACACGCGGATATTCGTACCCCGTGATCTTGTGTCTGTTGGCCACGGTATTACTCTGTCTCTTCGCGTCGGTTCAGAAAGTAGGAGTGTATAGGATTCCCGGAGAGGAAGTTGGGTTTAATGGCAAGTAATAACTGTGTATGCGTCCAAGGAACTGCGAGCAGCTTGAGATCGATCCAGAACCACTTGGTACCGATGGTGTAATAGCTGGAGGAAGGATTCACTGGACGGACCACCATATGATTCGCACGCCGACGCAGAACGCTGTCACGTTTGCATCGCGTGGAGGCATGGGCCTGCTTAACGAAGGACCGCGCAGAAAACGGCGTTTTTCCGGCCGGTTACTTAAGAGTCTCGAACATGGTCTGGCTGGAACCCGTGTTTTCTGTCGTTTTTTTTGCTCTTCCTCCTTTTTCCGATCTCCGTCTACCCGATTCGTGGCTCGATCACGAAGGCAGGGCACGCGTCTCGCCCGTAGAATGTCGTCGTAACGAGGTGTTCCACCCCTCCGACCCCTCGGGCGTCTCCCCGCCACGATGCCGAACGAAACCCGGTGCACAGGGACAGATTTCTCGTCCTTCGTCTGCTTCGTGTCCAGAGGTGATCCCTTCCAGCGGCAACCGGCAGGGACGAACGTTTAAATTAGGCAGGGAATCCCGTGGAATCCACGAAAGAAACGGAGCGGCCGGCATTCCGTGAGGTTTTGATACGCCTTCGGGCTATTGGTCGTCGGGGTACCATTAGCCCTTATGCGGTGGGAATGACTCCTTAGGGCCCAACCGGTCAGCCTTCGCGCGGTGGGTCGTAACCGCTTGCACACTCTAAATCCTATATTTAATCGCGGCGAATTCGTCCGGTGATCGATGAGGTCGCCGATCCGCGACGATCCGCGTTCGATAGAATTGCCAGAAAAACTTGGACTCTCGTTCGTTGCTGCACCAGCGTGTTTTATCGCTCGCGCTGCGATAGCAAACGATGCGTCGTCGATTGGGACCGTATCGCCGCCGATGGGATTTATGTTGTTGACTCTGCTCGTCGGAGTCGATCGTTTCTCCCGGACGAGGTCCGACGACGCGCGCACAGTCGGCGAGAAAAAAATAATGCCTCGGTACGGCGAATTTTATCGACGCGCTTTTACCGGTTTACCCGCCAAGGTTCCCGACCGTTTCCAACCTCGGGAAACGCAGTCGAGGCGAAACGCGAGGCTCGTACCTCGATTTTCTTCCACGAGCAACGCCATTTTATCGAGCGCGCGCAACTTTCCTGCTGGATATCGCGGAGAGCGTGCTTTAAACCGCGTGCCCCGACGTAGCCAGCTGTTCGCTAACTTTCCAATCGGCCCCGGGTGCCAGTCACGCGATCTCGATGACCCGCGGTGACCCTCGGATCACCTTGACCGCCAGTGACGCGACCTTGATGACCCTCGCGCGACCCCCGACTAATGACTCGATCACTTTCTCTCGTTACGGTGTTATCACACGATGTAACCACGTTCTGTTTCGATGTTCGCAGAGTCTGGCCACAGGTTGGACAGCGGCTCCCCGTTCTGGAGGATTCAGCTCGATCAGGATCTTCTGGACACCATCAGCGCTATATACCCGGAGTGGTTTAAGGTAAGCTGCTTGTCCTTTCCCGTCCCCCGTGTCGCCCGTATCGATGGCCCTCGAGCGTCCTTGAACGAATCCCGGATAACGAGGTGCGCTCCTCGTGCAGGACTATACTAACACCCGAGCCTCGACTTCCTCTTCGTCGAGCACTTCCGGTGGTCAGTTGAACACCGAGGGCATCGTGGCCGCCGACGCCAGCGCCGGCCTTGATCACAAGGTCGCCAAAGGTGATTCCAAGTCGAAGTCGAAGGCCAAGAAGGCGGACAGCCTGAAGGACAAGGAGAGGGACAGGAAGGAAGCCAGACGCGAATCCAAAGACGAGAGGTGATTAGTCCCGATAAATAAACACCGACCACCATAATCCCGCTTCTATATTCCCCATAGCGACTGACCCCTCCGAGCAGCAAGCTCGCGAGCCCATTACCGAAGAACGTCTGTTCAATGCTCTAGCCAACCTCGACTCTCGAAGCTTCACTGTATCGATTTGCCCTAAATGATCGAGAATGTATCTCCAGGTCAAACATCGCGCAAATTTCAACCCCTTCCCGCGCCGTTTAGCTCGACGAAATTCGGGCCCAAACGGTAGGCCTCAACGCGCGGTACACAGACCAGACTGATGCTCATAAACAGTCGCAATACTTGCGATATAGTCAGTTTTACGCGATATTACTATTGTGGAAGGAAACTCTGATCTTTTTTCCTTTTATAAATATTATAAATATATCATATTTTATAACAGATGACAGTTTGGAAACTGTATTTAGAAAAATGTTCCGTTCACGTGTCCGGCTCGTGATATTCACGTTTGGGCTAAAACTTTCATCACGAGTCAGACTCGTCAAAATACGGGAGGGGGTTAACGCTTTGACTGCCACGTTGGTCATATTGAACAACATCGAATGAAAATTGACAGTTAATGCATTTTGGATATAACCGCTAATTAGAAGATACTTTGAAATGAAAAGTGCCTCATTCACCGATTACAAATTTTTATTAGAACATCGAAGATATATTAGAACAAATCACACGTGATTTCGGCGTGGCAGTCAAAGGGTTAAACGAAAGCTTGGTCACCAGTGGCGTAGCTAGAACTTTCGACCCGATCCGTTAGGTCTGTCTCTCCTGGCAGTAGGTCAAAAATGTGGCAAACTCGGGACGATCGGTATGTCGTACCGTTACCAGTGTACTCCTCCAAGACCGCCTCTTAACCGTTTGTCTCCCAAGCAGCGCGATCGCGCTGTTCAGATTTCATGTCGAAGCGTTCTTGACAACTGATGGTGCGTCACCGACTGTCGAAGTCGAAGCGCTATCGCGCCGCTTGAGATTTTTGGACGTAAAATACAAGAAGCGCTATCGCGCTGCTTAGGTCTTCTCGTACTCGCTTTAAAAAAGCGCGGTCGCGCTGTTCGGGCTTCGCGGACAGTGTCTTTTCGAAACCCTCTGGGACTCAAACGGTTAATCCAGCGATGAAAACCACCGAGTCAACGTAAATACACGGAATCGTGGCAACGCGGTGCCCTTACCACCCCCTAGTCTAGCTACGTCACTGTTGACTACTATTCGAGTTTGCAGCGTGGTTATTTCCGAAATTATCGCGTTACGACGTGTAAGGTACAATGTTGCAGTCCGCGTGACGTTGCAAACATACACGAGGAGTGGTCTGCCATTTTGGAAGCAGCGCGTGCCGCTTTCCCAGTGCATCGGCTTATTATTTCTATCGCGTGGTCTGGGCAGCGCGAAGTTGGCCACGATAACCGCGTAATCGGCTAAATCGAGGTCTCCATCGACGATCCACGGCGGATCGTGCTCTCGCGATTTAACATCTCCGCGTAATCGTCGCGGCGCGTGGTAAACGCTTTAACCAGCACCTTCCTATCGGCCCGACGACTGACGAGCGATCTCCGCTTCCGAGGACTTTCTCTCTCGAGCGGGTCGAAGCGTTTCATCGAGCAGCGGCAATTTTGCCCCAAGTTTCCGCGGTCCCCCGGTGCCCTTATCTCCTCGCCGGCCGTTTTATACGCGTACCCGCCTCGAATGACCCGGTTTTACGCTTCGAGATATCGCTGCGCGAACGACCGGCGCGTATATCGCGGATCGAGGCTCGTTGCACGCTTTCGTCGCGAGATAAAGCGTATCGATGTTATATCGCGGCTTATCACGCGCGCTAAATCATCTCGCGGAACGCGCGGCCGCGAGGATACGAGCTGCGCGCGGCAGTAACGTAAATAACGCTTAATAAAGCAGAAGATAGCGCGGTGCCGCGTGGATCGTAACAAAGTTGCCGGGGCTCGAAACTGCCTCCGCGGACGTGTTTTCTGATAAACTTTAATTGGCTACTTTTGTTGGCATGGTCCGCGTCACGGGAAAAATCCGCGTCTCACGGCCAAGACGGGGGTCCTTAGCGATAAACGAGAGATGCCCACGAGTGGAAGTCGCGTGTGCGAACGCGTCGGGGAACGAGTGTTGGACCGATCAAGTTCCGGATGGAAATTTGTGGACACGAGATTATGGATAAGACACCGCGCGGCGAACGGTGGCGCGATTCTCGGCATACCTACGAGGTGATACGAACCGATTACCCGGTTATACGGTCTAGCCGTCTTCACGGTGGTACCCTGCGAGGTGGTTAATTTCTCGTCGATGTAAATAATCCCGAAGATACTGTCTCGAGATACGGGGGAAATTCCGAGGACGAATAGCGGACGGAGTAAACATCTTCGTTGGTTCTGAGCGGATCCAAAGAGGGGGGACATTGGTTGCAATGTCGGAGAGCTCGTTACGCGATTCCGTTGGGGAAAAACGATCGTGCGATGGGGATCTATGAGAACGGTCGGAGAAGCGAGTCGGTGGATACGGTAATATCCCCGAAGGGTTTCTTGCCCGCTGCGGAGGGGTCAGTCACTGGCGGTCGGCGCGGAGAGGAAGAGGAGAAGAGAGCGGTTTTCGTCGCTTTCTGATGAAAACGTTCCATTCGGCTGGATCGAGTGTCGATTGATCCGTCATTCCTTCATCATCGACAAAAACACGGCCGGAGGATGGACTTGGGACCGATTGACACTCGTTTTGCCGGCGAGTCCTCCTCCTCGATCGTCCGTCTCATCCTCCCCATCCTGTTCCTCGACACGACGGCACCACGATTCGATGGTCGATCCGTTGGTCGGTTCGACGTATCGACGTATGAAAGATTAATTCACAAAACGGCACGTTTTGCTCGTTTCGGTCCGCGCTCGGACCCGCAGGGACGCTGGAAACGGTAAGAAAGGCACGAAGCCCTCGCCGCAGCAGGATAAAGCGGCGGACGTGGCAGGAAGGAAGACCGCGGGTGTTCCAGGATCGGGCGCAGAGATGGCCGAGGGTAATCAGTCGCCGCCGAAGGCGGAGGTCGACGACTCGCCGCTTCAACACGCCATGGATCGCAACAAGGAATGTGAGTACATTTACATTTTATTGCTCCCTTTTTGCACGGCTGCCCTTGTCGTCGCGCTTTATGACCCTTAAACGAGAACGCCGCGCCGGCGTAGGCTCCAGTTCTTGCCGGCCGCGAGCGATTCGTGTTTCGTCAACGATCCCGCGAGTCCCTCGCCATTTTCTGGACGATCCACCACCGATCCGATCCGATTCGATCCGATCCGTCGCCTCTCGGATCGCGTCTCGGCCGCACCGCCACTCACGGCGACGTTTTTATCGGGTCGCGCGGCCACCGATCTGCCTCGGACCCCGTGCAACGGTCTTCACCGTCACCGTGTATCGTCGATCGCGACAACGCTGCCACGACATCGTAACGGAAGATCGACGTACCCTGAATTCTATCGCTCGCCACGCCGGTTTATAGCCTGCCGCGAATCAACCTTCTTCTTTCCTCCACGCTATTACGAAAGGGACCAGGTGTGCCCCCTCTTCCCCCCACCTCACCCAGATGACAACCATGGAAACCGTAGTACGACGATGTAAACGATAACGCCTCGATATCATATTCGTGCTGTGTATAAAAATGGCGACGCGATTAAAAATTCGAGTAATCCAGGAAACGACGATGTGTCCCTGTGGCTGTCGACTGTTACATCGGAAGGACAAATCTCGTTCGCAACGAGCGAAGCTTCCCGTTGCATCGCGGGCACGTCCACGCCCCCGATAAGCGTCGATCGATCCCGACTTCCAGCGCGCGCGGAGGAGGAAGTGTCGGTCTCGACGTCCGGAATAACCGATGAAAGCGGCTAACGGTCCGCCTCGCGACGACGTTCGCTTCCGATCGGTTGCCGGTCGCGCGGCCCTCGGTTATTATGCACGACGGCCTCTGTAATCGCGCAACTTTGTTGCGTGCAACTCCACGTTGCAGTTATCCCGGCTGTCGGTGCCCGCGTGCAGCGGACGCCTGTAATCCGCGGACGGGCTCGCCATCTTTAACGCGGCCCCCGCCATTATGCCCCCGTTGCCCGTGTAATCAGTCGCTGGTTATAGCCGGCCGATCATCCACCGGCATCCGCCAACGATCCCGCGAGTCGGTGTCTTTAGCACCGCACCGATACCTGGCCTCCGATCGCACGCTCGCGTCGTTACCGATCGCACGATCCCCGATAACGATCCAACGATCACGCGCAATTTCAATCCACGGGAATTTCGCGTGGCTGCGTGTCGTAACTTCGCCATTTTCCCTCTTTAATTGCTACCGATCACGCGGAGGAATTTGGCGCTCGAAAGCTGTCAGACTCGCGAAATTCGTCCCATTTTCGAATTTTATTTTCTCCCAGTGTTCCAAAGTTGTTATTAGCGGGAAATTTTGGCCGTCTGGATCGCGCGTGATCGAATGGTCGGCGTGGCGGGTGCGATCGGAAGCGGGGAGGAGACGAGAGGTTAATATCGAGCGACCGGTCGCAAGAAAGTTATACCGACCACCGGCGCGAGCTGGACGTAACATCGTCCCGACATCGGTTCTCGCAACACCGTCGAACAACAATACAGCGAGCGGCCAGCAATAACTCATCGCGGCCGGAACGCGGCGCTCGACGCCGAGCCCAGGACGCACGCAACGATCCCGACGGCCCACGACGACGCGGCGGCGGCGGCGGAGGAACGACTACGACGAGCGAGACGGGACTAGCAGGAGACGCGGCAAAATGTTGCCGGCCGAAAATTGATTTCACCTCCGGCAAACGAGCCGCGGTTCGCTTTTTGCCGCGTTCGCATACGTTATCCCCCGCAGCACGCGAGCAACGCGAGTACGATCGATCGACGTATAAATACGTCCAGGCGGAGACGCGCGGCCGACCCCCGCGGTGCGTTTGTTCCGCGTCGGATCCTCTCTGCCCTCCCTTCTTGTCGCCGGTACGCCCGGGCGGATCGTAGCGAGTAGCCACGGGTAGATCCAGCGACGTGCCTCATTAAAGCCGCGGACCACCGGCCGCAGTCTTTAGAACGTCATTTTGTCGCGTTTATCGGCCGCCTTTTTCTGCAATTACTTTTTGCCAGCGGACGAACCGAGCTCTCCTCTCACGCACACGCCGGGCATCGGGACGCGTACGCGCCGCCGCTCGCGAACCGCGTACCTGCGGCCAGTGGCGTCGACGCCGTTTTTCCTCGCGAGCTGATATTTTTACAAACACTAGTTTCTCTTACCTGTTCGCTTTCGACCGTCGATTAAAATTCGCTGCAGTGGGTAGGTGATGTCGACTCTGCGTGACCAACTCGACGTTCTCAGAGTGATCGAAGTCAGGGCCACCCTACTGATGCTGCGTACCCCTGAAAACGATGAAGAGTTAGAAATTTCGGCAATTAGAAAATGATGGATATTTTATATAGAAAATTTTAAAATTATTTTTTAACACTTTAAACTCGAGAGGCGCCTCTCAGACGCCATTTAATCAGATTCTAAAGATAGATTTTAACACTAGGTTTACGGACACTATCTGTATACCTATTTCTAAGGACACCTGTTAAATTGATGAGTAAAGTAAACCACGTGCCTTTTTTTTAACGATTTGTTTAATTTAAAGACAATTATATATTGTATTAACAGTCTTAACCCTTTGCACTCGAAGATTTTTTGGTTGGAGAAGAGTCAAAAATCAAAGATTCTCTACTAAAAAACTGACGGTACTTTTTTGAGCAGTAAATAAAGAATTTTATTATAATAGAATTGTAGAATTATTTGATTTCGATACCCTGTACACTGTTACATTACGTTAAATTTGATATACTAATTAACATAGATCTTCCAAATTTTATGAAATGGTGACTGAGCATCACCTCTCGAGTGCAAAGGGTTAATATAAGTTAACTATATCTGTTACCGTCGTGTAATTGGAGCAACCCTTCCGTCAAATTGACAGGTTCCGTAAATCTGGCGTTAATTAATATATCAAATTTACGATTACTCAACGATGCGTGGAATATCGAAGAAAAATAATTTTAGGTCTTAAACACTTGCGAAGCTTAGAAATTCACGGTTGCACGTGTCAGAACAGTCGAGTGCAAATCACTTCGGGGCCCAAATAATACTGCTGGCTTCACTATCACTTTCCACTTTACAGTCTGGGATCAATACTGATAACTTTACACGACGAAGTGCAAGCAGAAAGTGTGCCTCGGTAAAGAATTTCGTTAACAATTGACGTGCCACGCACGTCATTTTTCTTTCTGCAACAATCACCTGACGACGTGTATAACAAAAGCATCTCGACGTGCGTGGCAAGTGGTTAACCCATTGACTAGCACGGTTTTATTTTAAAGAAAACGTGAAGTTTTACAAAATATAATGATCTAACCGTCTAAGTTATAATTTTAATAGTTTTAATAATAAAAATTGATAATTAATATGTTCTCTACGCTGTATACATTTTTCATTCATCCTTTCTAATAATTCCTAACTCAAGTGGCCATTTGTAGCCAATCTAAACTTGCAGCATACACTACGAGATATCTCGTAGTTGGCAGTCAATGGGTTAACGTGCATACGATTTCTTATTTGCAGAGAGTGTTCGAATTTCTATTTTCCTGTGACGAAAAAATTGCCGAGTGCAGAGTTAATCGATCGATGAAATTATCCTCGTTTTCGAGAGGAAGAAATATTGCCAAAGCGACAGTGCCATTTTGCCCGTTTTACCGAGCTGAAAATAGAAAGAACCGAGGGACTCTGCTCGCGAGTGCCTCGCAAACAGCGTCGCAGCTATGCGACTTTCCTCGTTCTATTTATTATACCATTAGGCTTTGTCCCAACGCATTTGCACGATACCCACGAGTATCGCGAGCACGATTCCGCTGCTCTCGTCCTTGCGCCGCCTAGTCGCGGCGCGTTCGAGGGAAAGCAAGCAGACTTCTCGCCCCCTGAGGCCAGGATCGAAGCGCGGCTATGTGGAGTATCCGGAACGCGGCGTTCCCGCGAGAAGGTTTTCCCGCGTGAAAACGGCGGTGGGCCGCTGCCCCCGTAATTCCGACGTCACTGTTCGGAGACAAGTTGCGCGCACCTTCTCCGGCCGCGCACCTGTGTGCACGCGTGTACGCGTCGCACACGCGCGCTCTCGCGGCGAGCGTTGCCGCGGTGAACGGAGAAGGAAGGAGCGATCGCGCGCGCGAATATTCGTGCGGACAGGTAGGTGTACGCCGGCGCGCGGCTGTGTGCTGGTATAAATATACGAGAGACAGGAGGCGTGCCTATTTATAACGGTGATATCATCGACGATTACCTACGCTTTCGCGTGGACAATCGTAAATTCTGCTGGCAGAAGGGTGCGGGCCGATTTGAGACTTTACCGGGTATCCCTCGCTCTCTCTCTCTCTCTCTCTCTCTCTCCTCGTCTCTCCCGCGTCCTCGAGATCCGTTCGTCTCGCTCTCGATCCCCGGGCCCACCGAGGACCCGTCTTTCTCCCTGTCTCTAAGTTATCTCTCTTTCTCCGCGCGGCGACGCCATTATCCGGACGGCAGGCCGGGTGTGACTCAAAAGTTCGAGACGACTTCGACTCGGGAACCGCGAGTAATTTAAGGTCGATTCGAGCCTCGATAGGCCCCGTGTGGGCACGGGATCCTTCGATAAAATTTACTCGGGCATTCTCCGCTCCTCGCGGTGCGTCCGTCCTCGTGAATTCGCCGGGACTACGCGACGCCGTGACCGGCCAGTGGAGGACGCGATGCTATCGTTAGACGGGGGGCCCCCGCCTGTAACGAGTTACGCCGCCTCGTCGGCCGGGTCTTGGCGTACGCGCCACCGGTTTATCGCGTTTGACGTTCCACTCCTTCCCGCCGGGCCAATATTTCGGGACCCAATTCGTAATAACGTCGAACGTATACAACGCGGGCAGGGGCCCGGCCACTCGCACCGCGCGGCCACGGGTCTGCGCGTTTGCTTTCGTTTCGCCGGTTTATCGCGTTTGCCGGACATTGCGCGCCCATACGGTGCAATAATTTCGGCAT